TACAAGCAGTATCAATCATGATATGCGCAAACCACAAATGATTTTGTGTTTACAAGTTATGTATTGTATTTACAACCTATTCTTAAAATGTTTAAAATAAAAACAGTGGTTAAAATTCTGGAAAAGATACTGATATGTATTAATAAATTCGATTCAATTTCTTCGCCAATTGTATACTACTATAATTTTTGCGTTTCATGTAGATATGTAACAATTAGGCAAAAAACGGGAAAAATTGGGAAGAAACTGAAGCAAAAAATTGAAAAAATTGAAATATATTCAAAACAAAAAGATACTTAAAAAACTCTTGTCAATATATTTTTTCAGATATACAGGGTGTTTGGTAAGTCGATGCATTCCTTGCAGGAGGTTATAGTGCAAGTGATTTGTGATATATTTTCTTAATATATCTACAGGGTGATAAAGTTTTAATAAAAAAATGCAAATTTATATATATTGCGGAAACCGCTCAGAATATTTTAATTAAATTTTACAAGCTTTGACAGTTAACAACAATACATGTTTTACGATAAAAATATTGTTTCTAGTTTCACCAGTGGCGTGCGCACAGGCACGTCTGGATATTTTTAAAGAAAAAAATGATACGCCATTGATTTTTCTTAAAAAATTGTTTTTGAATTCCTTGTTGAATTTGGAAGAGAAAAGTATCTCGACTGTTTTTCTTAAGACTCACCGTTTTCGAGTAAAAACAATTAAAATCGATTTATTGCATGGCGTAATCCGGTGTCAATAATTTGAAAAATAGCACTCAGCTTTTTTGTACCAATTTTATTACAAAAAAATTATTATTCCCCGCAGTTAACAACAATTTAAAAAATTTTTATCTGTCTTATTCACTATTTACTATCTAAACAGAAATTGGCAAGTTGGCTGTGCACTCGTTTTTGTTACTGTTTGACAAAATTAATAATAGCTGTCACTTTGAGTGTTTGAGTGTGAAGCAGTTAAGTGCATAGTTTCTGCTATTTTTCAAATTATTGAAACCGAATTACAGTAAAACTCGGTTATAGCGAGCATTCACGGGAACGCAAAATTTGCTCGTTATACGCGAGTGCTCGTTATAGACGTCGCCGTCGCCAACTATGCTGAAAATTATTGGACACATAATTATAGCTGCATTGCACTTGTATTTTTATTTTCAAACATATAATATTATTTATCTACATAACATAGATACGTATAACTGTAGGNATTTCCTTAATATATCATATTCCTGATCTACAGGATGATAAAGTTTTAATAAAAAATGCAAATTTATAAATATTGCGGAAACCGCTCAGAATATTTTAATAAAATTTTACAAGCTTTGACAAATAACAGCAATACATGTTTTACAATAAAAATATTGTTTTTAGTTTCACCAGTGACGTGCGCACAGTCACGTCTTTGGATATTTTTAAAGAAAAAATGATACGCCACTGATTTTTCTTAAAATAAAAATTATTTTTCAATTCCTTGTTCAATTTGGAAGAAAAAAGTTATCTCGACTGCTTTTCTTATGACTCACCGTTTTCGAGTAAAAAAAATAAAATCGATTTATTGCATGGCGTAATCCGGTTTTAACAATTTTAAAAATAGCAGACATTATGCACTCATCTTTTTTTTGTACCAACTTTATTACAAAAAATTATTTTTCCTCGCAGTTATCAACATCAGTCTAAAAAAATTGTATCAGTTTTTAGATTCGCTATTCACTATCTAAACAGAAATTAGCAAGTTGGCTGTGCACAAAATTAATAATAGCTGTCACTTTGAGTGTTTGAGTGTGAAGCTGATAAATGCATAATTTCTGCTATTTTTCAAACTATTAAAACCGAATTACGCTATGCAATAAATCGATTTTATTTTTTTTACTCGAAAACGGTGCGTCATAAGAAAAACAGTCAAGATGCCTTTTCTCTTCCAAATTGAACAAGGAATTCAAAAATAATTTTTATTTTAAGAAAAATCAGTAAAATCTGTAAAATTTCATTAAAATATTTTGAGCGGTTTCCGCGATATTTATAAATCTGCATTTTTTTATTAAAACTTTAACACCCTGTAGATCGGAAACTAAGCGTTTTAGGAATATAGTATATCAAGGAAATATACCACAAATCACTTGTAATATAGCCTCCCGCAAGGAATGAATCGACTTAACAAACACCCTGTATTTTTCTATCTTGATGTTGATGCTCATGTACACTATCCTTGAACTAATGTAAGTAAAATCTCTTCCATCAAGAAAACGGTGATTAAAGTGAATAAATTTTATTTAGCTCAAGATACATACATGCTAGGAACAATACCTAATATAATTCTTTGCTTTTATATAATTATTCTTGATTCAAGAAATCTTTTTTTTGTCCGCAACAAAATTTGTATATTTGGAATCGAGCAATTCTGAAAAATATCTACAACTTTTGTATTTACCGTTTATAAAGGAGTAATAACCGAGATAATCCTACAGTCAAAATGTAATTAATAAGATGATCCTGTACTATTCATATAATCTGTTCTATAATGAACCCTGCCGAAAAGATTGAAGTAAAAGAAACTGAAATAGGGATTAAGCATCTACATACTTTTTCTCTTTTCTATAAACATAGGTTAATTAAAACTATTTATATTTACTTGTTTACATTTGTGGTTGTCATATCATCCGTTTTCACAAAGACATAATCAAATGGACGAGTAATGATGAAAACAGCACAGATCTCAATTTTCTTGTTTATTAAAAAACAGTCGCCTTTATTGATCGACCGTTTATGTTGCTGTAAGGTCAATTAACCTCAAAGGTCGCATTACAGGACCAATAGAATTTAATTAAAAGCTATTAACTTTCAGTAATTATTTAAATTAAGAATTATTATATACACGTTTTCGTTGGCTTGAAAAGGAAGGCTAAAAAATTTTCCATCTCGCAATTTATACAAAAAATCCAGTCCTATCAAAATACTTATGTATTTCAAGTAAATGTGTTTAATATTTCAGTGTTTTTAATGTATTATGAAAAACATTTTTTTCAGAAATTCAAAATTAATTTAAACTACTTTAAAATTAATAAAATTTACCGGAATAGTGGAAGTAACGTCCGAAGTAATAAAAAAACTGATTTATTTCTGGAAAACTTTTAATAAAAATAAATTATCAGAGCACATAAAATTATATGACTTCACGTGTTCATAAAATTTCCAACTGACACGAACTTTCAAGTTTACTGTTAAAATTAAGTTTAAAAATGCCTGCAAATACAAATATGACAGGACGTTCAAAGTTGTGAAATTTAAGTAAAACTATACCGAAATTTTTATCTTTGAAGTTCTCCGGGACCAAATAGTGCAAACTGTAAACATTACTTTTATTTTTTATGTACCTATCTAAATTTGCCTCAAAGCAAATAGTAATGAAATATCTAACTTGAGGGCACGGCTACTTTTTATTAGTCAACATTCCAGTGTATTTGTTTATGATGTCGTGGTTTTACATACATGCCCACGCTGAGACACCTACTGTTAAAATGAGCGTAAATAATATAGTCCAGTAAAATAAATTTTCTGCTCTTAATTCGGAAAATTTAATAAAAGATACAATTAGATTTTCTCGCATCTTCAAAGGTCTGCCCTCTAATTCGTAGTTTAAACCTACATTAATTTTTAATTTGACGTTCATTAAAATTGTGGAGAAAATGTTCACCTCGGTCTGAATGTCAATTTCCTTGGGATTAAAATTAATTATTACTTGGAAAATTTTAAATTCTACTTTTGCGATAAATGCAGCACGACAGTTGTCCATTTTTAAATCAAGTTTATCATTTCCGAATTGTAACTTTTAAGGAATTTTCAGTATAACTTTAATTATTAATATTGTTTTATAAAATTTTTCATCATTGCCTATAAAACAGAAAAATGTTGAGTTCTTTGGAACTTATTTCAGTTGCGTATTTTGATATTAGCGTATTGTAGAAAAAAGTTGTTGAAATTACAAAATGAAATAAAAATTGTGAGTTAAGTGCATGTATAAAATGATTAGAGGAAATTATTTTAAAAGTTCCTGCAGTACAATACTCATTTAATAAAATAAATACAGAGATAATTATGGTTTTATATTGTTAAATACTGTGGTTTCGTGTCGTGTTGCAAATATGTATACATAAGACATCATTCATGTACTTGTAATTTCGTTTTAAGAATTTTTGTAGTTATATCGTGAAGAAGTTATTTATTTTATGAAATGTTAGTTTCAAATTAAACAGTGATATTTAAAAAAATAACCTACCTTTCATATTTTTATATACAGTGTAGGAAAGTACCGATGGTCTATCAGAAGTTACGTGGAGCGATAAAGTAAGCCATAGAAATCCATGTGATAGACAAGGATGGCTATAATGAAGGCGTCTAATTAGTCAACGCCCATTTCGCCCTTCCACAAATAAGATCCACTTCTTATTCACCACGCGAATAAGAAAAAAATATGTACTTAATTGAAATATTTTTTCGATTTTTTATGAATTTGTTCCTTACCAAAAATACTATACAATTGCTATACTCAATTATTAATTTATTTATATTCACCACCTTAAGCTAAATCAATGGGTAAGAAAAGCTAGCAAGATTATAAACCAAAAGTGAAGGAAACATAAAATAAAAAACAGACAAATTTGTAAGTAAATAATGAATATAAGTACATTGAACAATAAATAGAAGTACAAATAGAACATGAAAATATGTACACAAGTATAAGATATGGTAAAAAATGTTTTTAATGTAGGGACCATTATTGCAAAAAATGTTCATTATATACCCAGGTGAAAATTTTTAATAAATTAGTTTTGGAGTGGGAAAATAAAGCAATGACGAAAATCGGGAGCTAATAAAGCAAGGATAGTCCATTCGGCCAGTTAGAATTTCATAGAATGATTTCTTGCGAAATATATATCTTCACTTTTTTACAAAAAATCTATTATACATACATCTAATGAAAACGTTTTTCTTTTTCAGGATTCTGATGATGAAATATCTCACTTAGAATGGGAAACGGTCCGAGTCAGATTCGTCAAAGCGGGTACGTTGAAGAAACTAGTCGAAGCTCTCTCCACAGATGACGGTGAACTTGAAACCACATACATCAATGTCTTCTTAGCCACATATAGAAGCTTTTCTACTCCCAAAGAGGTTCTGAAGCTGCTGTTGCAAAGATATGAGGAATTATTAGATGCGCCACAAAATGGGAGACCCGATCAACATGAACAACACAGAAAGTAAGACTTATTTAATATGTGCACTCAATAACTTCTGTTTTACATAGACGCTGATGGTCAGTGTGCTGAATATCAGACATAAGTACACTGATGATTGCTTTTACTTCTTCCTGTTACACACAAAGGCTGATTGATCAACTTGGTGACCATTACATAAAGCTACGATGTTTTAAGTCTTTCATGACTAAAGGTGTGGTAAATGGACAACAATCGCATAACTGCACTGATTTTCGTTGGCACTGATATATGTGTGTGACATATGACCTTGTATATCGTCGATGTTGTGATAATGAGTTAAGACTTTCGGCAACAATTACCATTTGCAAGCATAGAGATTATATAAGTTACAAATATTATAGTAACTATCAGTACCTTTCTGTCAAGAGTCAATTTCACTATAGCTCATCAGTGGATCATGTGAAAAGAAGCTCATTGTTCATCAGTGTGCTGATTGTCAGCATTTATTTGAAACAGGGTTTAAATGGTAGCTTTCACATAATCATTGATATTCATATTGAATTGGCACTGAAGTTTCTTGGAAACTGTCATTTGCAAGCCTAGACAAGGTGGGCTTGTCATATGAACTGCAAATAAGGTAAAAAAACTATTAAGCAGAAATGCTGGCAATGTCAATATCCGTTTGACACAGAGCTGACAGTATAAATCCCTTTGTGAAATAAACTATCCTATAAATAGGGCTGTCAGAGAAAGCCGCAATTAAATGGCGTGCCAAGCAGGTCAAACAAAACATGCGCGAACCGCTGCCTCAGAATGCTTTTCATGTTCATGTTACGTTAGTATACTGTTGTCTTTGTTATCTTGTGGATGTTTCAAATACATCTTGAATACTAATTTATTGCTTATTTTCTACATAATATATTTTATTACGCTTAACATGACGCGTAAGCCTATATCCCGTGGCTCAGTTCTGACAGCCCTACTTATAAATAAGATAAATTTTACTTATTATTAGATGTTGATTCATTTGAAATTGGTGGTTGCTATTTTACACAATAGAACTTTACCAATAAACTCATTTTTTCTAACAAATCTAATATATGTATGTTTTAAGGACCCTTATATCTGCACTCCATGTGTGGTTGGACAGCTACCCAGAAGACTTCAGGGATCCACCCAACCATTCAGCTCTCCGCCAGCTTCTCCATTTCTGTGAAGAGTACCTCCCTTCCACAGAACTTGACGCCAAAGTTCGGCACAGGATAGAGAGGTATAGCAGAGAAGCACATATTGATCCTTTGTTGGCACCACCTCCTGCATTTGCATTGAGATCCGTGGCTGCCGGTTGGAGGGTTTATAAACTACCAGATGTACCTGTTAGACATTTTGCCGAGCAACTTACTCGAATGGATGTGGTAAGTAGTTTTCTTTTTCTTAGAAAAATAATATGTATCTTTTTAATTACACAAATCATTAATATATTGCAATATTTTCAGGATCTGTTCAAGAAACTTGTTCCTCATCAATGCCTAGGTGCTGTGTGGTCAAGAAGGGACAAAAGCAGGTCACACGAAGCTGCTACCGTTCTGGCCACTGTGAATCAATTTAACGCGGTGTCTTTCCGAGTTATATCTTCCATTCTAGTCGAACACAGTCTTAAGCCAAGCGAACGGGCTGCCATCATCTGCACCTGGATTGACATTGCACAAGAACTAAGGCTGATAAAAAACTTTTCCAGCCTGAAAGCCATCATCAGTGGTCTTCAGAGCAACCCAATATATAGGCTGCAGAAGACGTGGCAGGTTATTCCTAAAGAAAAAATAGAACTGTTTGAAGAATTAGCCAGGATATTCAGCGAAGATAACAATCAAATGACTCAAAGAGAACTTTTGATGAGAGAGGGCACGGCTAAGTTTGCTGACACTTTTGGAGAGAACGACAAACAATTACAGAAGGTATTTCAGAAACAGAACCATCACATAGCAAATATTTCGTTTGGAACCATTCCATACTTGGGAACTTTTTTGACGGACCTCACCATGATAGACACAGCAATTCCCGACACTATCGGAGACGGTTTGATAAATTTCGATAAGAGAAGAAAGGAGTTTGAAGTACTGGCTCAGATTAAACTCCTTCAAGGTGCCGCCAATGCTTACCATTTCACTGAAGATCCGGCGTTCGATCGCTGGTTCGATACGATTCTCGTATTGGACGATAGGGAAGCTTACCAGCTTAGCTGTCAGATCGAGTCTTCCGCCACTGGTAACAACACAAAAATGAAGAAACGGAGCACCGGGCATCAGAAGAACGACTCCATCGCTAGCACCTCCAGCAGCAACAGTTCCCAGTTTTATTGCGACATCGATAGTACCCCCAGTTCGCCGCACAATAGTATCGACAGAAAGTTGAGTCCGTCTCAGATGTCTAATTCTAGCAGCAACTCTTCCTTACCGTCGCTCGACATCTCGCTAAATAGTTCCCATTCGGGCAGTGCAAACAATAAACTCCAAGTACCTTTCAATAACTCTGGGACTTTGAGTAACCAATCGCAGAAAAGCAGTCCGGAATTCTATATAATTAAAGTGACATATGAAACGGACAATGCCGAGACCGACGGTATAGTGTTGTACAAAAGTATTATGTTGAGTAACAACGAAAGGACTCCCCAGGTTATTAGAAACGCCATGTATAAGTTGGGACTTGAAGGCAATCCTGATCAATATACTCTTGCTCAAGTGTTACCTGAAAAAGGTTGGTATAATTTCAGTTTATGATATTTATTGTTTCAGTTTTAATTATCAGTGATTTCTTGGATTTTTTCTTGGTAAAATACGTAGGTTGCTCGGTAAGTCTTGTCGTTCGTCACAATATCAAAAGTTAAACGGTTTATTTTTATATCTACATATAGTATGTACATATTCATGTTTACCCGTCAAAACTTGTCAGTAGCTAGGCACTGACGAGTAAATATACTCTCTCACGAAGTCTCAAATTCGCGCAATAATTTATTATAATTTTTGTCATGAATTTTCTTGTCAAAAATACCACGAAGATATGAAATATTTATTGGGTGATATTGCACCATCCACCAGGACTGTCAAATAATAGTATAAACAGTTTGAAAGAGACATTTTTGAATTAAAGGATGGTCTGCGTCTGAGCCGGCCGAGCGACGTGACTACACCCGAAACAAAGATCGCTGAATCACATATAAACAGCTCCAGCAAACTGCTAACATTTCTGCATGGACCGTAAATAAAATTTTAAATGAACATCTTGAAATATGCAAAGATTGTAAATTTTTTGTACCACACAAATTAACTGATGAGGGATTGTGAAAAAGATGCTCACAAAGTTCAAGTCCGGATGATCGTCTGAGGTGTCAATTATTACAAGACAAGAAACTTGGCTTTATTATTATGATGTACCAACAAAATCACAAAGTCGGTCATGTTCAGTCAAGAACAAAATTATTGTGATTTTTTTTGGTTGTCACGGCATAATCCGAACAATTCGTTTAGATACTCACCGTTACTGCAGATTAATATATTGCTCACCGCGCCCAGCAAACCATAGATGTTCTGAAGTCTTTCCGTATGAGACTGTTAGATCACCCTCCTTACAATCCCGATCTAGCTCCCTGTGATTTCGCCTGAGACGAATGTTGTGCTTCCATCTCAGAAGAGAAATGGAATCACTGGTTTGATGGCTGGTTTGAGCCTATGCATAATAAGTGTGTAACAAGTGACAGTATACCGTGTGTCCCATTTTAATTGATCACGTTGAATATCTCATCAGAGAAGCCACTAATCGAAAATGGCCTAGAGATGCTTACCTAGGATTTGACCTTAACCTCACCTTGAAGGTCAATTGAAGGTCAACTTCGGAATTGTGAATGAGATCCCCTATTTTGAACCTTGGAAATGGATTTACCATAAAATTTTACATCCGGTTGTGATCACAACTTTGACCTAGAGGTCAAGGTCACAAGGGGTTTAAATGATTCGTCATCCTTGAAGCAACCTCGGAATAAGATGTTGACCTCCATAATCAACGAGATTTACATCAAGGTACTCAATCACGACCTTCGATTCGTCCTTGACCTCGACTTTGTCAAGGTCATTTGAAGGTCGACTATAAAAATCGACCACCTATATAAATGTTGCAAAACATGTTCGGAATTGAATTTGAAGGTTTACTTTGTTTTCTTTTCTGCCAGATCAGATCTTGGGAAAATGGTAAATTTGTATCTAAGTACGCTGCAAAGTAAGGTCATTTGAAGATCAGGTGAAGATTTAAATCCAGAATTATTTTCATAATTTCAGTCAGTTTTACTTTGTAACGTACTCAGATGTCTCTTTTTTCAATTTTCAAGCGAAATTATACCTTTATCGAGTAACAAGATATTGTTATCATTCTCCCCTCACTCGTTCATAGCATTATTTTTTCCTACAATTGTTATAGTCGACCTTCAAAAGACCTTGACAAAGTGGAGGTCAAGGACGAATCGAAGGTCGTGATTGAGTACCTTGAAGTAAGTTCCATCGATTCTGGAGGTCAACATCTTATTCCGAGGCTGCTTCAAGGGTGACGAATCATTTAAACCCGTTGTGACCTTGATTTTGACCTCAAGGTCAAAGTTGTAATCACATCCGGATATAAAATTTTCTGCTGAATCCATTTCCAAAGTTGAAAATAGGGGTCCCATTTAAAATTCCAAAGTTGATCTTCAATTGACCTTCAAGGTGAGGTCAAGGTCAAATCCTAGGTAAGCATCTGGTTTCCCCTAGTGAACTGAACAACTTTTACTTTAGGCCATTTTTCGATTGGTGGTTTCTCTGACGAGATATTTACGTGGTATCAATTAAAATGGGACACTCGGTATACTTCGAAAAACAGTAACATTTTATAATGGAACAAGACTTACCGATCGACCTACGTATATTATTCACGTCTCACGTTAAATAAACATATAAAATATTAGTTGATCGGACCTGAATTGGCAAAAAATATTCAAAATATAAAATCTTTTTTTTTGGGAACGTGTTAACAAATTCAAATTACTTTTTTTATTTTATTTCTGAAACTAAAGTTCAAATTTTCTGCGTTGTATGGAGTGGGCCATTTTCAACACTTTTAGGTTGTTTCTTATATTCCCCTGAGGAATAAAATGTTTTGAGCTTGACTGCAACTGTTTCTCAATATTTCGACTGGTTTAGAAGATGTACAGGGTGTTTGTGAATAAGTGCAAAATATTTTGAGGGGTGGTTGCCGAAGTTATTTTGTGAAAAAAAGTTCATATAAACGTAGGTTGAAATATGCTTCGTTTCCGAGATACAGAGTGTTTCAATTTTAATTTTTTATTTATTTTGATTAATTATTTCAAAAACTCGAAATTTGAAAAACACTGGAGGGATAAATGTGCATTTTTTTGTGATGTTCTGAATATTTCTACTTGCATCCATGGTGTACATGGGAAATTGCCACAAACTTTTTTAATAAAAAAATAGTACATCACTGACTTTCCGTTTTGATATTTTTTTTAAAATCCGCCATCAATTCTGAGTGAAATTGATTTCTTCAATTTTTTTCGTAGGATGCACTGTTTTTGAGGAAAAAAGTACAAAACATATTTTATTGTAGGTTTTGTGAATTTTTTGTTTAAAGGTGCTAGTAGAAATATTCGGATCACCCCAAAAAATGCACATTTATCCCTCCAAAGCATTTTTCAAATTTCGAGTCAATACCTTCAAAACTTTGAAGTAATTAATTTTTTACAAAATAACTTGCAACCACCCCCTAAAATATTTCACATTTATTTACAAACACCCTGTATATCATTCTTTAAAAAATCATTAGTTTCACCTTTCATTATCAAAATATAACCAGTCTCATTTTCATGAACCATAACTGCTAGTAGCCATTAAATGATCTACACTGGCTTCTATTCTTTAGGGTAGGTCTACATTTTCAAATTAATGAATTTTCCCCCAAATTGTGCTTTCTGTTGACCACATACGTGCCGACAATAAAATCAGTCTTAAAACTTAATAGACTGTGTATACTTAAAAAGGACATNTTATTTTGTGAAAAAAAGTTCATATAAACGTAGGTTGAAATATGCTTCGTTTCCGAGATACAGAGTGTTTAAATTTTAATTTTTTATTTATTTTGATTAATTATTTCAAAAAGTTTTAAAGATATTGACTCGAAATTTGAAAAACACTGGAGGGATAAATGTGCATTTTTTTGTGATGTTCTGAATATTTCTACTTGCACCAGTGGTGTTCATGGGAAATTGCCACAAACTTTTTTAATAAAAAAAATAGTACGTCACTGACTTTTTGATATTTATTTTAAAATCCGCCATCAATTCTGAGTGAAATTGGTCTCTTCAATTTTTTTCGTAGGATGCACTGTTTTTGAGGAAAAAAGTAAAACATATTTTATTGTAGGTTTTGTGATTTTTTTGTTTAAAGGTGCTAGCAGAAATATTCGGATCACCCCAAAAAATGCACATTTATCCCTCCAAAGCATTTTTCAAATTTCGAGTCAATATCTTCAAAACTTTGAAGTAATTAATTTTTTACAAAATAACTTGCAACCACCCCCTAAAATATTTCACATTTATTTACAAACACCCTGTATATCATTCTTTAAAAAATCATTAGTTCACCTTTCATTATCAAAATATGACCAGTCTCATTTTCATGAACCATAACTGCTAGTAGCCATTAAATGACCTACACTGGCTTCTATTCTTTAGGGTAGGTCTACATTTTCAAATTAATGAATTTTCCCCCAAATTGTGCTTTCTGTTGACCACATACGTGCCGACAATAAAATCAGTCTTAAAACTTAATAGACTGTGTATACTTAAAAAGGACATGGAAAATGTCATCATTTAAATCTAAAAATTGATGCTACAGAAAAAAAAAGAAGTTGCTCTGTACTCTTAGAGAAATGAAATTGTTGAAATAGGTACCGTTTTTGCCATCAAATTTTTCTTGAAAACCGAGCCTTAAAATTCTTATAATACTAAAATGTAGTAGTTCCAGGAGTTCCAAAACTTTCAATTTAGCACAATCTCTTTCCGTTTACTCCTTATTGGGAGCAGGAAAGGCTTTATTTTGGAAACAATTATGTGGATTCAAATTTTAATGACCTGTTATTTTTTCAGAAATGCTGCTGCCACCCAATGCAAACGTGTATTATGCAGTAAACACCCAGTACAACCTTAACTTTATTTTACGCCCTAAGAAGTCTGAGGAGGGCGATACCCCAGGAAAGAATTCCAAAGGAAAATATAAATTATAATGGATGGCTTTGACCTATTCCCCGAATATATTCACTTGTTTTGCTGCAATAGTATGTTTCGAGCTGTGCGTGATGCAGGTTTTTATAATTTTTGTACTTATAATAATTTTTTTTGAGCTGTTTATGACAATTAATTTATGAAACAAATAACATCTGTGATAATAAGCACAAAATACTCCCACCATCACATTTTTTTTGTGTTTATATTTTTATTTATTTATATATTTTGAAACTTGTTTTTAAACAAACTAGGATGTAGTTTGTCCCATAAAATTCCTTCATCGTATGCTTATTTTAAAGCAATATTATTGGTTTAGAATCTGTAGTTATATGAAATTTATCAGAGTGTAGATAATGTTACTAATTAAGTGTGAACAAATGTAATTTATTTCTTACTGTATTTATGATAATAGTAGGACCAATTTCTGTTTGTGACCATTTTTTGTTTTTGTATAAACTGGTACACTTGTATGAATAGTAATTTTTACTGTATATGTATATGTAACCCCTATTGGTACTTAAATGTAGATATTACACCTTTTTAATATTTTTAAGAAATTATTTTTAATGTATTTTTCTATTAAAAAATATTAATTGTACTTCAATTCTTTTATTTCAGTAACCGCTTCCTTGTTCATTTGATTTTTGTTAATTCTCATTTGAAAATTTTGTTAATTTTCATTTGACAATTTGAAAATTATCTATTTAAAGGATGTTTTATTTTACTTGCTGTGAATAAAAATATTGAGGCTTTTTTTGCAAAAAATATGCAATAAAAGAAGAAAAAGAGTTTTAACTCGCAGCACTCAGGTTTCGTCATCTATTGTGCATGCTGTTAATAAGAGATACTGGAGCATAATCAACTAGATCACGATGGCTTTATCGACTCGGAGAAATTTCGATAAAGGATTTGTAATTGTTAATTTTGTTGCCATGACAAACCTATAGTGTGGCGACACCACTGTTACTTTTTAGAGACACAATTCTCACGTAAATACAATTTTTGACGTTTAAGTTTGACATCTCCACTTTACAGAAATTATCCATATTTCAAGAGCGTTTATCTAATTTGGTTTATATAAAATTGCATATCTTTTATCTGCTATCTTAAAATTTTAAAATATATTCCCAATACATAGAAATTCTATCTACGTTCTTTACATATCATACACGGTACCACTCGAAGGATTTTTTTGTAATTGTGGTGGTGTGATAGGGACTTTGGGGCCTACCAAGCTAAAATATTTTCAAGGTCATCGTAGTTCCGGTTATACCGGAAGTCGATACTAACTTTCTTATTTCAAATGGAACCCCCTGCATATTATTGCATTTTTGGAAAGAGCATCGATTTTTAAGTTCAGAACATATAGCACACTCCATACTTGGGATTGACCGTTTCCGAGATATTTTGATTTTTAAGCAAAAATTGACAGATGCAGACTGTCAGCAAAATTTAGTTTCCCGGAAACAGGTTTATTTTTTTTATGCAAATTGGACATTTTGTAGAGGAAGACCCAATTTATCGAATTTGACAGGAAAATTTTCCAGTTTTAACTCGCTCATGAAGACTCACTGCACAGGGTAATGGAACAGACTAAAAATAACATGGGTGTCCTGAGATGACAGAACTGCTGCCCCCCAGGTGTTTGTTGCATTCAGTTGTTCCGTAAGCGCAGTGACGGAAGATATGCATAGAATTCCCCTCATTGTGTGTGCATTCTGGTACACATAACAATTATTCTGTTGTGGTGCTTATTCAGATATACGTGACATGTTAAGGGTTTTGTGATAATCCAAATATTGCTTCTACCTAACAAACTAATTTTCCGACTTGCTTCAGCCCAAGGGCCCTTGCGGGGCTTGAATTGAGATTAAGTCAAATGAAATGACCTTGACTTGATTTCCAGGTGACCTTATAGGGCTAAGCTATCCCCGGAATTCAGGTTCAGCGACCTCAAAAGCATACATACTTACAGGTTAACATTCGTGAAAGGCCTTATCTTTACTTTGACCTTGAAATGATCTTGACTTGACCTAAATGTGACCTTGTAGGGCTAAGCTATCCCCAAATACAGTCCTCCCCCCCAAAAAAAAACATANAAGACCCAATTTATCGAATTTGACAGGAAAATTTTCCAGTTTTAACTCGCTCATGAAGACTCACTGCACAGGGTAATGGAACAGACTAAAAATAACATGGGTGTCCTGAGATGACAGAACTGCTGCCCCCCAGGTGTTTGTTGCATTCAGTTGTTCCGTAAGCGCAGTGACGGAAGATATGCATAGAATTCCCCTCATTGTGTGTGCATTCTGGTACACATAACAATTATTCTGTTGTGGTGCTTATTCAGATATACGTGACATGTTAAGGGTTTTGTGATAATCCAAATATTGCTTCTACCTAACAAACTAATTTTCCGACTTGCTTCAGCCCAAGGGCCCTTGCGGGGCTTGAATTGAGATTAAGTCAAATGAAATGACCTTGACTTGATTTCCAGGTGACCTTATAGGGCTAAGCTATCCCCGGAATTCAGGTTCAGCGACCTCAAAAGCATACATACTTACAGGTTAACATTCGTGAAAGGCCTTATCTTTACTTTGACCTTGAAATGATCTTGACTTGACCTAAATGTGACCTTGTAGGGCTAAGCTATCCCCAAATACAGTCCTCCCCCCCAAAAAAAAACATATACCTATGCACTGGTTGAAATTCAATACAAGCCTTTTGTTTAGTTTGATCTTGAAATGACCTTGAATTGATTTGAAGGTGACCTTTAGTGTTACGCTATCTCCAGATTCAGATTCTATACTGACTGGTCAAAATTCAATACAAGCTTTTCTTCAGTTTGACCTTGAAGTGACCTTTACCTGACCACCAGGTGACCTTAGATAGTTATAAGCTATCTTCCAAATTCAGGTTCAGTGATCCCAAAAGCATTGTATCTACTGGGCAAAATTTATTACATGCCTCAGTTTTTGAATCCATCAACTTGAAACTTTGTGAAGCTTACTCAGACTAGTGCCAAAATCACATACTTCCCCCATCTTTGTCTCTGAAACTATTCATAGGATCACTTTGGGCCCATGACAACTTTTGATCAGAAACTCAAAAACTATAACATACTGCAATTTCAGCAAAATCAATTGGGACCCATTTTGCATTGATTTTGTGTGGGGTTCTTTATTAAATGTTAAATGTATTGTGTGTGTTGAATTGGTATATATTTTTTCTCATCGGGACGGTATTAGATTCACAATTAATGATGATGATGATGGTTTCAGTTATCAAAAAAATCCTCTTGCAAGTCCAAAAGGACGCAGTTACCTTTTCTAGCTGTCTATCAATGTGGAGTACCCAGGTTAGTTTGTCATCCAAAGTAACTCCCAAAAACTTTGCCACTGGTAATCTCTGAATAGTTTCAATGAAGAGGCACCTTAGTAGTAGTAGATTGGGGCGGCCTCAGCCTGGCAACTAGGCAACCAGTGGACCCTTTTTCCCTACCCTGCCGTCCCATCACCTATTCCAGTGTTTGCCTCTGATTCACCTCTAACTTACCTGATGCCCTGATGAATGCTAGGATTTTGATCCATGGTAGGGCCTTTACCTCACCCACCCTTGCAACTCTTTGGTACCAATAACTTTATGCCTTAACCTCCTGAAGACTGCACAGTGTCCCAAAAAATAGATAAAAGTATTCTCATCATTTCCACAATTCAAACATAAAGGGCCTTCCTCAATTCCTATTAAGTTGAAATGCCTTCCAAGTCTGCAATGGCTTGTCAGAACCCCCCAGCAGTTGGTTTAGGTCTCTTCGACCACAATTCAGCGGACATCTCGCCTTAGATTTGTTAGGCCCATATATAAAGCTATGGGTCTGTGTACATTCTCTGTTCGTCCTTCAGTTTTGACCGCCCTGAGCACAGCGTGACAGTCAGAGCTGATAAAAATCTCCTCTACACAGTTCCTTACTTATTGCCAACATCAAAATAGCAAAAACTTCCGCCTGAAAGACTGTAGTATACATACCCAGTGAAAAACTTTTCTGGATACCACCGTCTTCCGGGTAGATACATTTTGATTGTTTTTACCTAAAATTTGAGCATGTTTAAATTTTGATAAATTCAATAAAAATCTTCTTGGACTTTATAACTGATAAGCATTAGTGGTATAAATTTTTTTTTCTGGAAAAATTTGAAAAATTTCTACTAGACTATATTGGCCTGTTTAATGTTGTTTCTAATACCTACTTATTTTACAAAGTTACATCGGATATGTAAGTGTAATAAAAAAAAAAGATATTTTATACAGGTCAGGGAAGGCCAGAAGTACGGATTAAAATTCATATCTTTTGATTGAGTTAATTTAATTTAAAATGCCGACATACGTTAACTGATTTTGATTTTTTCCTATCTTTCGGTTATATAATAATTATTTTTTCTTCAACTCCCTAACCCCCAGCTACCCCTACTTTTTTTTTCAAATGGAAACAAGGCATGAGGGGGCTCGCTGAAAAGCTTATAGAAAACCGAATCCAGCCATTCCAAATAAACAAGTTTTATTTTTTCAATAACAAGTTTTTTTTTCATTTAGAAATTGAAACAACTAGATAATTTAGAAAAATAAACTAAATGTCGCTAATGCCGAAAATGTCCTCCATTCACTATTTGGCATTCTCCAAGACGATAGTAAAAGCTGTCCACAGCATTCTGAATGACTTCAGCTGGTAAATTATGCATCTCCGCCCTAATCTTGTTCTTTAAATTCTCAATATTATCCGGTCTGTCCTGGTAGACTCTTTCTTTCAAATATCCCCAAAGAAAATAATCCAGGGGTGTTAAGTCGGGGGATCTTGGCGGCCATTCAACTGTACCCCGTCTACCAATCCAGCGATTTGGAAACATTTCATCTAAGTATCTTCGAACATCAATACCAAAATGTGGGGGAGCGCCATCTTGTTGGAACCAAATTCTTTCATTCGGTATATCTGGATCAATTTCATGAGGGAAAATCACAGCTAGAGCAGGTATCAGGTCAAATGTTAGGAAATCCAGGTAGCGTGCGGCAGTAAGATTTTCTTCAAAAAAGAATGGGCCCAAGATTCTGTTGTTGATGATACCTGCCCATACATTAACTTTTTGTGGATGCTGCGTATGCGATTCGCATGTCCAGTGTGGATTTTCCTGGGACCAAAAGCGATAGTTGTGCCTGTTAACCACTCCATTTAAATAAAACGTAGCTTCATCCGAAAAAAGTACGTCTCGTTGAAAACCATTATTGTCGTCACACCGTCTCATCATTTCCTCACAAAATTGTAATCGCCTATCATAATCGTCTTCCAAAAGCTCTTGGACAAGACATACCTTATAGGGGTGGTATTTCTCTTGTTTCAGAAACATTCGAATTGCAGTTCGAGAAGCATCGTGATTGCGGGCCAATGAAACAGTTGAAGTATGAGGATTTTCAACAAGTTCTAATGCAATGTCTAATTTCTTTTCTTCATTCAAAGCACGTGCCCGTCCAGTTTTGGGCAAAGTCTGTACTGTACCGTGTTCCTCAAATTTGTGAAATATTTTACTAA